ATATTTTAAAAGCTTAGAACATATTATAAATTCATGGCTTTGCCACAGATTCTTATGTTCAGTTACCTTTCTAATTGAACCAATTAACAAAACAAAATACACATTCAAATGAAACATGTATCTAAACCATTTAGGAATAATTAAAATTATAGATCAGGTTTTCTTTCACTGATCACAAATCATGGTAATGCTTTTGTGGTGCTCATTTCCGGGCTCACTTTGGTGTGTTTATTAAAGCACGGTATTGTCAGATCACAGGGAGTATCTCATTTTCATTTTCATATCTCCAATTCTAAAGGGAATTAAATTATCCAATTAAGCTGTTAATTAAAAAGACTCCTACAGAATAAACTGTAGGCTACCAATGGCATTTTCAATTTTCATTGCGCTGTGCTCAAAAGCAATTTTCTAAATTCAAAAGAACTCAAAGTTACTGCCCCGTACTTCACTTTATAAGGTGTGACTGGGAATGCTCCCTGAGAACTAAACCCATTTGTTCTTCATTCTGGGCACACAGCTAGACTACATGTCCCAGCCTCCCCTGCAGTTAGATTTAGCCAATGGAATATGAGCAGAAGTAATGTAGGCAACTTCAAGGACTATCGCAAATCTTCCACTCAATATCTTCCATGGCCTTTTTCCCTCCACTGGCTTCTTATAGATGAGCATACTTTCAATCATGTGTTGAAAATGGCAGAACCATAATATGGAAGGAGACTGGGTCCCTGAGTCACCAGTTAGAGGAGAGAAACTCTGATAATTAATACCCATTATGTGTGTAATGAAAACAAGAAATAAACTGGGTTAAGCCATTGAGATTATCTGTTTCTACAGCTAGTGTGATCTTAATTAAAAAAAAAAAAAAAAAAAAAAAAAAAAAAGCAAGTGAACTTGAGGCGCATGCAAATATCTTAAACCTAATTGGAAATAGCCTCTTGCAAATTTTGATCAGGTCCACTTAGATACATATCTAACACTGTCATTTATATGCATCTTTCCTTGTGCCACTTCCCTATACACAAAAATTCTCATTTCATGGATCAGCTTAGAAACTAGAATAAACTCTCCAAGAAGGGCACAACAGGCCGTGCTCAGCTGCTTATTACCCACAATCTCTGTGCCCTGTGATGTCCATTTCCTGTACATGATGATGGTAGAAGGGCTGACCTGGGATCCTACAAACCAGTACTTTTCCAGATCTTAGAACATATCAGTGCCAGAAAGGTGTTTAAAATAATCAACAGGGGACTCAATTTGCACTGTCAGCATAACCCTAAAAGACGCCACAGAGAAATCAGTATAAATTCTATTGTATGCCTCTGGATTTGTCTGAACTCAGGGAGGCAGTCAGGCATGCAGAGTCCCATACCACTCAGTCATTGTCTAACGGTCACCAGACACTTCCAGTTCTCTGAAAGTACATCGGGCAAAGAGGCTCCAGTAGCATGAGGGCAGCCATCCTAGCGAGTCAAAGCCAATTAGAAAAAAAAGCAGAGCGAAAATGAGGTAAGGGCACCCAGTAAAAGGAATTTGCTGGGATCTGTGCAGAGGAAACACCAATAGTATCCACCAGACAAAAGCTGAATAATTCTTTCTCTGTGTTCCAAACCACAACCTGATTGACTTATATATCATAATCACTTAGTAGGGTTATTGAAACAGTTTATATATCCATCTCCCATGTTAGACCAGACTGTTCACTGAAGCCCAGACACTGTATATTATCCACCTAAATATAGCTGGTTTAGTGATTTCAATATGAGTGCTCAGTTACTGTGTGCTGGGAATGAATAACTATAAATCGACTGGATTGTTACAGAATGATGATAACACAGAGATTCTTTGATTTGATAGTAACTGTGATGTTCATTGTCACTTTTGTGAGATCAGCCCTATCCCCTATCACCGTTGATAATTTCCTCAGAGGCATCTCTTTCTCTATAGAAATATTATTACAAAGGCAGTAAACCATATCTGCTGACTTACATTCTGGAAGAAAATATAATGACAACCTCGTAAATACCTTCTTGTCTATGGAGAAAGTTACTGCATTCAAATCCCACTTTTCTAAGCCAAGAAAGCTAATATAGTACAGTTATTGTACACTATTTTTTGGCAAATGTTGTGTAAAACAGGATGGAATATGTTAACAGATCTAATAGATTGTAATATTTTTAAAAAAGAAAGACACAGAAAGCCTTCAACCAACTTTTTATTGTCCTTAAAATGATTGTTTACATCGTTTCATGAGTAGAAGAAAATACAACCAGTCTCACAGTAACCATTTAGATATAAAATGTATAATCCAAGAACATCTCTCTTCAAACCAGTAGGACACTGTCACTGGTGATGAGAATGTTGTTATATGAAGCAATCGTATATTCTTCCATAATTTAATATGCAACTGAGGCATTATGTTAAATGTATCAAGGACGAAGCCTATCAAATGCTAAGTGATTATAGAAATACTGATTGAATAAATTTACTTAGAAATGGGATAATCTAAGGGATAGAGGTTAATCCACAGGTCAGTAGACCAAAGCCCAAAGACTACCTTTCCTTCCTGTGGGATACTTGACAAGAGATTTCAGGCTTCTCCACTTCTTTGGCACAAGCATAATCTGTCTGGCAAGCCATAGTTCCTAGTTGCTTCTTAGTGATGCTCCAGGGCTAAATAAGATAAAATTTATGTGCTAGGCTTAAGCTCCATTGAGGCAAGGCACTAAATAAACTTCAGGATAATTTATGAATCGTGTTTGCATTAGTGATGTCCAAGTCCATCTCATAAAATGAATAAATGAGAACAGGAGGCCAATGCTGAGCACTTAGTGAAAAGCTCAGTATACTTTGGGCAATGGTGATGAGCCCAAATAAAACCACTTTATATCTGAAATAATTTTTTACTAATCCAGGAGATTTTCACAAACACAAAAACCCTAACTCCTTCCAATACCCAGACAATAGTTCACTGGCAGAACATCTGGTGTGTGAATCAGAGAACTGTATTATAGCAGCCCTAGTCTGATATCTAATATCTAATATCCTTTTAATTTACCATCTTTTTTTTTTAAAACTTTATGGCTCTACTCCAGTGAATGTGCTTAGCAAGGAACGCCAAGATCCTGTCTTCTCTTCAGAGCCACATCCATAGGCCAGCGTCTCCCTACTTTTTTCTTTCCCTTCCAGTTGCATTTTACCTTTCTCTTTCTACCACTTAATCAGTGTCTGTTAATCTTAGCAATCTGTATCTAAGAGAAAGGACAGTGAGAATGTAATTGGAAGAGTTAAACATGAGCATATATTTGGAAATTCAATCCTTCTAATTGTTCTAGCTAGTAGTGATGATTTGGTATTGCTGCTTTTGGTTTGTTGTTTTGTTTCGCTTTGTTTTAGTAATGGACATCCTACCTACAATTTTCAGTATAACAGTTACAGCAAGTAAAGTGAATCAGGATAAGGTAAGCTTCTTATCTAGAAACTGTGAGGGCCCCAACTAATCACCAACCACTTTTGCTAAACCAACAAGTGACTTAATTTCTGTTTCCAAAGCCATAACTCTATGCTTTTATCAAACACTTTCTCTGACCTGCAGGAATGTGTTTATTTGGAGTTTATAAAGGAAATCTAGAAGGGAAACACTATTCATATAAGCATGACAAACCTCAGCTGATTTTAAACAAACACCCAAGTGCAGGAATAAAACAGAGTATCTTATATGTCTATAAACCAAGTCAGAATGCTTCCTCCAGAGAAAAGACACATACATTCCCAACCTAATACTGCTTGTTTTTAGAAATACAAACTAAGGTCATATTAAGCCAGGTTAAGAGGAGGAGAAGGTAGCTGCCCTTCACAAGTTTATCCATTCAGAGAGGAAGAAGTCAAGGGGAAAATTGCTCTCCTCTGACTAATGCAGTATAATTGTTTCCTCATGATGGTGCCCCTCCATTTTTCTCCCTTCAGACGTTCCCATGGCTACAAAAGGACATGACATACACACACACAGACACATACATATATATATATATTTTAAAAAGAATCACAAATCGCAGGGACATAAAATGGCTTCCTGTGGTTAATCTGAATTTGTCATTTTGCTTTTGAGATTTTCCTATTGGCCCACTTAACCCAGCACCTCATGTATAATGAATAATGTAAAGGGGGTATGGGGATGCCTATTTTAAGAGACCAAAAATGCCAGGTAACAACTTTAAGGCCATTACAATTTTATCCTACACACACACACACACACACACACACACACACACTCACTAATAAGAAAGGAGTTCACTTAGAAGGATAATGCTCTAAGGATAAAACACATAGTACTGCTCTTTCTCACAACTCTTTAGATGACTTGAAGAGTAAAAATTATGTTTATTTGGACTATGCAGGGAATTTTAAATTGAATCAGTAAATTCCAGAATGTCATCAATCAAGAAATTTTTTAAAAAGAATTTTTTTAAAGAGAGGTAACATTAAGCTGAAACAGAAGGGCACATTTCTCCCTCCTCAATGTGATGTTTGTTCCTTTGCACTAAAGGGGAGTGAAAGTCATATGTTCCTAATGGGAAATCAGAAAATTGTTTTCTCAATGTCTGCTCATTTCAAAACCAGTACAATGCACACATGTGAAGCTAATGAAACAAACAAGAATTAGACTAAAAAAAGTGTCTAGCAGACAATCACTGCAGTTCATACAGATTGGACAAAATTTTGGAGATTTCATCTCCTAGTTTCCCTGCTGTTATGTAACTAGGAGGTTTTACTTCTTCTGGGACCTAAAGATATATCCTCATTCCCTTTTTTCTATTTAATAAACTCAAATCCGTTACCTAGTAGCCTTTCTGCCAGCTTTGTTCATGCTGACTTGAACAGGGCAATCTGCTACATGAGATGCAAGCTGTGAGACACGTTTTCATTCCAATAGACTCCAAAGCTGAAGGCAAGAACTTCATCAAAAATTGTAAAATGGAGATCAAACATATTTCTAATTTAACTACCTTAGAGTTGAGGAATGCTGTGTAATTACTGTCCATAAAAACTTGCACTGCATTCCACAGAGCAGCACGCCCTCCCAGGTGTTCATGAACGTGTCTTCATCGAGAGGCTACAAGTTTAATAGATTGAACTTTTAATGGATACATCAATTTAGGCTTCCCACAAAGCTATAGATTGAAATGGTATGTACCACATAACTGTGGCTAACACACTAAAATGGACAATAGCAACAATTTAGCAGATAGCATTTTAACAAAAGTAGCCTAGGGATTTATTTTTGTTGGTTTGATTTTCTAAAAAAACATACTTGGTTCATGCTTGTATTCCATTTTATAAGCTCTACAACTTTGAACATATACTGTCTAGATCCAAGCAGGTCACCTACCCAAATAATGAAAATGCACTAAAAATGAAAGTCTCCAGGCCTAAAGCAATGGGCGATGAAGGCTCAGTGCAGCCTCTGCTGGCACTGTGCAACTGTCTCAGGATGCCACAAACCAGCGTCCCAGCTACCAGAGTCGGCAGGAGTCCATGCCTCTGTTCATCGTGGAATTGGGTGGACAGTTAAATGCTTTCTGGAATTCTTCAAAGTTACTAATTGCACCATTGACCCTGAAAAAAGGTATGTCAAAGCATATGTCATACAATTCTTGCACATCAACAGGTTCTGTATAAAACTATAGCAGAATATTGCTAAAAAGAATGTTGCCATTCTTTTAATCTATTTACAGGGAGACAACTTTTCAAAAAAAAATGAACAGACTAGAACCAGCATCTCCTGAATGCCAAGCAAATGCCCCATTACTCTTCCAACAGTCTTCAAATTCTTATAAAACTGTATTGTCACCAGTATTAGTTTTTCTAACTTTTTAAAAACTTTATAGAAAATATAACTGACCTATACAAAGTATTACATGTAGAACTTGACAGTTTTTTGTGTGTATGTGCCCGTATTACTACCTGCCAGATCAAGACATTCCAGCACCCAGTAGGCTCCCGCCTGTTCCATACCAACAGCATCTCCAAAGATAACTACTATTCTGACTTCTATTGCCATAGCTTTGCCTGATTTTGAACTTCATGTGAATGGAATCCACGGTATGTACTGTTTGGTCTTTGACTTCTTTCACCGAATATAATGTCTGTAAGAGTCATCCATGTTGTTGCATTTCCCGCTATTTTTAAAGAATTCATTCAATCTACAGAAACATTTTCTCTGAATTAGTGTTAGGTATGGAAGCTCATAGTTGCCCAGAATTTGATTAATGCAACAATCAATTAATGAATGGTATCTAGTTATTACTGATGAGTAATTCTTCACTGGAGTTAGCTCCAATATATCACATTCTTATAGGCTTCCAACTACAGTAAAGACTGGATTCCTATGCAGTACTTTGATTGCAGCTGTCTTTTGGAAGTGATATTGCCGTTGTGTGATTTCTGCTGCACTCAAAATCTACAGTTACTGCAGACCTCAGTAACAAGCCAGCACACACACAAAACAACTTCCCCCTTTCATCTACTTCTTACTCAACTCCATGTTCAAAGGGTTGACTAGAGACTCAGCATTCTCAGTCACTATTTCTTCCCTAATGACTTTGTTACCTACGGGCATTTGAATAAATGTAATGCACTATAGCCAAAAAATCCTCATAACCGCTTGTGTTTTAGCTGAATATATGGGTAGGGATGCATATTTCATAGTATGATTCACCCTAGGCAAGTGTTAAAGATAGAATATAGCTGATAATTAGTAAGCATACACTGTAAAATTCAACATTACAGGCAACTAGTTAAAGGAAATAAGTTTCTGAAAACTTGTATCTGTTGAGTAATTAATCTACTGTGTGGTTTCATCTGCACCATTTGTCAGTGGGAACACATTTTAGTACATTCGAGACCGTCAGCCTTCATGACAGTTTAGCCCAGTGGCGGAGAAATTTCCAACACAGTGATTAGATTTTTATGCTAGTGGGTAATTTATAATAAATTTCTGAAGCATTTCTAAGGCAAGATCTTAGGAATAAGATTTAAAATATAGAAGAAATTTTAGATAGCTTTCTTGCAATATGCTAATGGATTCATTTAAACATTAAATATAAAGATATCCAGATATAATATCCTAAACAAAGAATGAATACATATAAATTGTTATGGTTTTTGCATTTCTCATCATACTTATCTTTCCCCTACTACAGAAAATTTCTGTCAACCTATAGGACCGAGTACAGGGTGAGTAATATTAACTTTAATTTTATTTGTACTTAATGTTTTATACATTCTGACAAATAAGACTGTAATTCATAATCCTCTTCCCTTTTTGTATAAGCTACTGTTTCAAAATATGATCCAAAGTGCAAGCCAAAATGTAGACTCTCTAACTCTAGATATAAATTATAATTGCTAAATAATACTATGTATCCTCCTTTGTGTTCAGAGCTATTTAGAAAGTGGCCATTCATTCATGTTTGCTGTTTGACTGTGTGAAAGAAGAAGAGGTATTAAAGGGGATATTCTTTACAACAAAGTAAACCATAGCTCTAGGTGTTTTAAGGCAGAGTACATCAAATCTCATCCTTGCCTAAGACAATAAAGGCTTTTTGGACCAAAAGAGTAAGCAGTTGAGTAAGTCCAATAATGCAGTTTACTGAGACTCTTTCAAAAACTGGAAGATAATGCGATGTAATACTAAAGCTATGATTTGGATTCCAAATTACCTCTGGAGTCTTGTATAGTCTCATTGGCACTTAATGTAGCGCTAGACTAGAGATATGTACAAGTACCCACCAGCAGAAATTCAGGTGAGAGAGTGCTGACTAAACCAGCTTACTACTAATGAAAGAAGATACTTAGTTTCTGTGTGGCCAGATATTTTTTGGCTGCAAAATGGAAATCATACAGTTCACAATATGCGATTTTTTTCAGATCACCTATCTGGTAGAGCCCTTGGATGGCTGGGTGGGGGAGAAAGGGGGGAGATGCACTGTTAAAAACTGCCGTCACCCCTTTGCCCATTTACCTAAACTGAGGGGGACTGTGAGCACCAATTTGGACTTGTTCTCGGGCAGCTTCTGGTCTGTAGGAATTGCACCTCACCTAGAAGAGAAAAGCATCCCAACAAATGAGCTTTCATTCCAATTATGTATTTTCTACTGTCTTAAATGCTCCAAATTATACTGAAGAATAATTTTAGAATCAGTGGATGACAAACAGTTTTAGTAGATCAAATAAAACCGTCATTGGTAATAACATCTATTATTCTGATCCCCAGAGTAGAAGATTCTATCAATGTGAATAATTTCACAATTTGAGTACGTGAGAAAGGTTTTCAGACAAGTGCTTTAAATCAAGAGAATCGTATATGTGCCCAGGAATCCACTAGTGTATTCATTCAATGAATTTAATGTTTGAAATAGTCCTTCTCAAATTTAACCATACTCATTCAAATCAATAAAATGAATCAGCCACCCATTATTGAGGATGGCGATGAGAAGTTAGTAGTCTGCCCCTGAGTGCCTTGCTTGCTTCACCCTAGTCTGGGCCTAGGATTGATGTACACTTCTCCATCTCCTTTGAAGTTGGGCATGGCGATATGGCTTGTTCTGGCCAATGAAGTGTGAGCAGAAGCCGAAGTAATATATGTTACTTCCTGGCAGAAGCTTTAAAACCTGACAGAAGTTTTAAGAGCCTTAAGAACAATTGAAGATGCTACACTAACAGCCAGTGCACACATCCTTATCCTTCTTTTCTACTTCTGTGTTATCCACAGAAGCACATGCCAAGATACAGACTCTAAAACCCAAGTTTTGTGTCTGTTTGTTTGTTTTGACATGGAGTCTGGCTCTGTCACCCAGGATGGAGTACAATGGCACAATCTTGACTCATTGCAACCTCCACCTCCTGGTTTCAAGCGATTCTCCTGCCTCAGCCTCCCAAGTAGCTGGGATTACAGGTGCACACCACCAAGCCCAACTAATTTTTGTATTTGTTTTATTATACTTTAAATTCCGGGGTACATGTGCAGAACGTGGAGGTTTGTTACACACGTATACATGTGCTATGGTGATTTGCTGCACCCATCAACCCGCCCTCTACATTAGGTATTTCTCCTAATGCTATCCCTCCCCTAGTCCCCCACCCCCTGACAGGCCCTGGTGTGTGATGTTCCCCTCCTTGGGTCCATGTGTTCTCATTGTTCAACTCCCATTTATGAGTGAGAAAATGTGGTGTTTGGTTTTCTGTTCTTGTGTGTGTTTGCTGACAATGATGGCTTCCAGCTTCATCCATGTCCCTGCAAAGAACATGAGCTCATTCTTCTACATGGCTGCATAGTATTCCACGGTGTGTATGTGTCACATTTTCTTTATCCAGTCTATCATTGATGGGCATTTGCATTGGTTCCTAGTCTTTGCTATTGTGAACAGTGCTGCCATAAACATACGTGTGCATGGCATCTTTATAGTAGAATGATTTATAATCCTTTGGGTATATACCCAGTAATGGGATTGCTGGGTCAAATGGGATTGCTGGTTCTAGATCCTTGAGGAATTGCCATACTGTCTTCCACAATGGTTGAACTAATTTACACTCCCACCAACAGTGTAAAAGTGTTCCTATTTCTCCACATCCTCTCCAGCATGTAGTTTCCTGACTTTTTAATGATTGCCATTCTAACTGGCATGAGATGGTATCTCGTTGTGGTTTATGATTTGAATTTCTCTAATGACCAGTGATAATGAGCATTTTTCATGTTTGTTGGCTGCATAAATGACTTATTTTAAGAAGTGTCTGTTCATATCCTTCACTCACTTTTTGATGGGGTTGGTTTTTTTTTTTTCTTGTAAATTTGTGTAAGTTCTTTGTAGATTCTGGGTATTAGCCCTTTCTCAGATGGGTCGATTACAAAAACTCTCTCCCATTCTCTAGGTTGCCTGTTCACTCTGATGATAGTTTCTTTTGCTGTGCAGAAGTTCTTTAATTAGACTCTATTTGTCAATTTTGGCTTTGGCTGTTTTAGACATAAAGTCCTTGCCCATGCCTATGTCCTGAATGGTATTGCCCAGGTTTTCTTCTAGGATTTTTATGGTGCTAGGTCTAACGTTTAAGTCTTTGATTCATCTTGAGTTGATTTTTTTTGTATAATGTGTAAGGAAGGGGTCCAGTTGCAGTTTTCTGCATATGGCTAGCCAGTTTTCCCAACACCATTTATTAAATACGGAATATTTTCCACATTGCTTATGTGTGTCAGGTTTGTCAAAGATCAGATGGTGGTAGATGTGTGGTGTTATTTCTGAGGCCTCCGTTCTGTTCCCTTGGTCTATATATCTGTTTTGGTACCAGTACCATGCTGTTTTGGTTACTGTAGCCTTGCAGTAAAGTTTAAAGTCAGGTAGCGTGATGCCTCCAGCTTTGTTCTTTTTGCTTAGGATTGTCTTGGTTATATGGGCCCTTTTTGGTTCCCTATGAAGTTTAACGTAGTTTTTTTGAATTCTGTGAAGAAAGTCAGTGGTAGCTTGATGGGGATAGCATTGAATCTCTAAATTACTTTGGAAAGTATGGCCATTTTCACAATATTGATTCTTCCTATCCGTGAGCATGGTATGTTCTTCCATTTGTTTGTGTCCTCTTTTATTTCCTTGAGCAGGAGTTTGTAGTTCTCCTTGAAGAGGTCCTTCACATCCCTTGTAAGTTGTATTCCTAGGTATTTTATTCTATTAGTGGCAATTGTGAATGGGAGTTCACTCATGATTTGGCTCTGTTTGTCTGTTATTGGTGTACAGGAATGCTTGTGATTTTTGCACATTGATTTTGTATCCTGAGACTTTGCTGAAGTTGCTTATCAGCTTAAGGAGATTTTGGGCTGAGACGATGGGGTTTTCTTAATATACAATCATGTCGTCCGCAAACAGAGACAATTTGACTTCCTCTCTTGCTATCTGAATACCCTTTATTTCTTTCTCTTGCCTGATTGCCCTGGCCAGAACTTCCAACACTATGTTGAATAGGAGTGGTGAGAGAGGGCATCCGTGTCTGATGCCGGTTTTCAAAGGGAATGCTTCCAGTTTTTGCCCATTCAGTATGATATTGGCTGTGAGTTTGTCATAAATAGCTCTTATTATTTTGAGATACGTTCCATCAATACCTAGTTTATTGAGAGTTTTTAACATCAAGGGGTGTTGAATTTTGTTGAATGCCTTATTAAGATAATTGTGTGGTTTTTGTCATTGGTTCTGTGTATGTGATGGATTGTATTTATTGATTTGCATATGCTAAACCAGCCTTGCATCCCAGGTATGAAGCCAACATAAGCTTTTTGGTGTGCTGCTGGATTTGGTTTGCCAGTATTTTGTTGAGTATTTTCGCATCGATGTTCATCAGGGATACTGACCTAAAATTTTCGTTTTTTGTTGTGCCTCTGCCAGATTTTGGTATCAGCATGATGCTGGCCTCATGAAATGAGTTAGGAAGGATTCCCTCTCTTTCTGTTGTTTGGAACAGTTTCAGAAGGAATGGTACCAGCTCCTCTTTGTACCTCTGGTAGAATTCGGCTGTGAATCTGTCTCATACTGGACTTTTTTTGGTTGGTAGGCTATTAATTGCTGCCTCAATTTCAGAGCCTATTATTGGTCTATTCAGGGACTCAACTTCTTCCTGGTTTAGTCTTGGGAGGGTGTATGTGTCCAGGAAATTATCCATTTCTTCTAGATTTTCTAGTTTATTTGGATAGAGGTGTTTATAGTATTCTCTGATGGTGGTGTGTATTTCTGTGGGATTGGTGGTGATATCCCCTTTATCAATCATTTTTTATTGCATCTATTTGATTCTTCTCTCTTTTATTCTTTATTAGTCTGGCTAGTAGTCTATTTTGTTGATCTTTCTGAAAAACCAGGCTCCTGGATGCACTGATTTTTTGAAGGGGTTTTCGTGTCTCTGTCTCCTTCAGTTCTGCTCCAATCTTAGTTGTTTCTTGTCTTCTGCTAGCTTTTGAATGTGTTTGCTCTTGCTTCTCTAGTTTTTTTAATTGTGATGTTAGGGTGTCAATTTTAGATCTTTCCTGCTTTCTCTTGTGGGCATTTAGTGCTATAAATTTCTCTCTACACATTGCTTCAAATGTGTCGCAGAGATTCCGGTACGTTGTGTCTTTGTTCTCATTAGTTTCAAAGAACATCTTTATTTCTGCCTTCATTTTGTTACTTACCTAATAGTCATTCAGGAGCAGGTTGTTCAGTTTC